AATTGTATAACTTACCACCTTGACCAATTCTATGTGGCTGGGATAATGAAACCATTCCCTAAAAGCCAGAGCATACCCCACTCTATAGGGTTAACTATGGAATTGCAGAGAATGGGTGACCCCAATTTCCTTATGATTGGATTGGGTAATGCACTTGGGGATAGCCTTATCTCCTGAGACAGATTTTCTCCCACTTGCCAGTGATCCTTTGTAATTAGAATGTTAACTCTTTACCTCAAACAAAGAGGTCTTCTTGATGGTATTTTTCAGTCATATTTATCCTAGAAGCCACCTCTACTGAGGTGCAATTGCAAACAAAGGCTTAGCTAAGCATACAACAGTGCTCCTGGTAAAAGGAGCCTCAAAGCTCACCATGGGACAGCCCCTAACAGTAATGACTTCACATCAGGTCCAGAGTGTCTTAGAAACCAAAGGCCACCAATGGATGAAGGAGACTGACTTACTAAATATCAGGCTACACTTACAGATATGCCTGAAATAATACCTAAACCTTGTCAAACTTTAAATCCAGGTACCCTTATGCCTGGACATGAATGTCTTACTTCCATAGAGCATAACTGTTGGAGGTCATTGATCTTGTTTATTCTAGTCAACTGTATTTGAAAGATTCCCACAGTTAAAATTCACCTCAAAGGCTCTATGGCAGGCCAACCCCATAATAAATAGACTTAGAGGAGACCTTGAACAGATTGGAAACTTAGAAGTGTCCCAACACCTCCAAGCCCTGGGAAAAACTCTAAGGCACATCTCTTTAGATGAGAAGCTTTAGAAAGGAACCCCTGAGACCATGGCAGACAGGACACCCCACTGTTGTTCTAACCACCTCTACTGCCCTCAAGGTCTTAGGTGTCACCCAATGGATCCACTGCTTTGGAGTAAAGAAGACTCTCACCAGTTCGATGAATCACACCAGTGAAAAGCCCAACCAGACCCTATGGACCCACTCTGGCTCCACCTTCGATAAGACCCCACCAACTGATAGACATCTGTTCACCGTGGTCCTTGGCTATTATCAGCGCGATATCCCTCACCTCAGGAGTTGGACTTTATGCCACTGCCCCTTCTGACTGGACTTTCTCCCAGAAGCTTGTTATTGTTATTGTTTATTGGGCAGCCATAGGAACCTTAAGATGGTCTGCTAAGTTCAGAGAAAACACTAATACCAGGCAAGCCACTGCCCAGATACTAGCCTTGCAGGGCTATCGGCCCATAATAGATGATAATGATGTCCTCTAAACTAAGGTGTTTAAAGGGGCATCAAAGTGGGGAAATGATAAGTACTATACCCTAAAGAGGAAACTGTACTCTAAGATGGCCGACCAAACCAGCAAGGGAATTCTAGTCCCTGTCTCAAAGCCCTTCTGGGGTCTTCTTTCCTACTCTGTTTCCCACGTGTGCCAAAAGTACCACGTATGTGGAAATAGAAGGGTATAAATTACCCTCCTGCTTGTGCTTGGGGCTCAGACCCTTGGAGAACGGTCTCCTCTGAGCCCACCAGTATTAAATAAACCTCTAATCCTCCGAAGTCTCCAAGTGCCGAGTGCTGCTTGGTTCTTCCCCTAGGGTCCAGTCCAGGTTCCATAACAAAAGACTAGTACCAGGAGGTCCAGCACCCTTTCCACTAATTGTAGTTACAAAGCAAAACAGAGATAATGGGAGATAATGGGAGGGCAGGGGTAATAATGATAATAATAGATATCTTTAAAGTAGAGCATTTCAACTGAACTGAAAAAAAACATAAGTCTGCTGATTAAAAGTGACATTGAGTTCTGAGCAGGATAATGAAATTACATATATCCACACATACATATTCTACCATTGAATATAACCTGTGAAATTTGAGAACACAAAGTATACAGAAAACATCGTGAATACTTCCAGAGAGGAAGGGGAAAAAAAAAAAAAGAAAACCAACCAACCCCAAATCAGAACATTTTCCTTGAAAATGTGCGAGAATAAATAAAGGACCCAGAATATACTTATAACTACAGAAATGAATGTTAGAAACCTTGACAATGCAAAACTAAGTCTATAAGAGAAGCAGAAGTGGAGTGTCATATCATTATCAAATTCCTCATCTAATATTGATAACTTTAGAAATAGAATCTGCATCTGTTCAGTGAAGAAGAAAGTAGTTATCTCTGAGATGTGGAACCTGTGGGGTGGGAGGAAGGGACACTTATACTTATTTTTAGAGTTCTGTAAGACTTGATTTTTCTTAAAATGATCTGCAGATATTAATGATGAAAAAAGATTCACAGGCAGGCATCAGGGCCTCAGCCATTTTGCTCATAGAATTCTATTTTGTGACCATTTCCCCCAATCAGACCCTCTTCTAGACCTGCATGGTGAGTTTGGCTGCCACACTCTCCAGGACATGAAGCTCTGGGTGCCATGAAGACTGCCAGAAGACCAGTGAGTGAGGAGGGGGGAGGGGGCCTAACTTGGATTTGCTACAGTTTACCAGTGCAGTTTGATTGATATCTTGGCCCTGACTGTTTCAGTATTTTTTCATCTGTAAAATGGGAGGTTGCATTAAATCAGTGAATTTCAGGCTGTGTTTGCAGAGCTCTGAAACTGATGATGAAGTACTTGTAGGGGCAGCTCGTAAGAATGAGGGGATTTGGAGGAAGGCTCAGATTCCTCACTCTCAATTTCACCAAAGCAGTTGTGTTTTGACCTACTTTAAGTGATGATTTCCATATAAGATGCCATTTGAGTGAAGGGTGCCGTGTTAAAATGGTGTGAACTCTATTGGACTAGATGTTGCCCAGGGCCCTTTTCAGCACTAAGATCCCATGATTCTGGAAAAGACAGTTGTGCAAAAAAAAGTCATTGGATATCAATGAATGGCCTTTTTTTTTTTTTCATTTTCTTTGAAAACAAATTCTAGCAACAATGAATCAAAGATTCTTTTGATATAAATACATAATTTTAGAGTTAGGAAGAAAATGTAGGGTTAAATACAGTATTGGATTTTCAGCCCAAGTCATTTTGTAAGAACCACTTTTCATATCTGCAGTTTTTATTTATCAGGCTTCCTGATATGCATACTACTGTACTCACTGGCAAATTTATGTTTTTTTCCCCCACACTTGAGGAAAAGATATGTAATAGTTTAATTAAATCTCCCCCTACTTTATCATAGAGCTTCTTAACCACACATTTTCCCTTTTTCTGCTGTCTGTGAGATGATAGAAATGACAGAAAGGAGAGATACTGCTTGGGCTGTGCAAATGCCTGGTTATAAATTAATCTTAAATTAATCTAGAAAACATTAAATTAAACTAATATTTAATGAAGTTTAACCTTTGGGAAGTAAATTGTGATTTGCGCCAGTATTTCAATGCAGGTGGCTGTGGTGGTATAAGGCCTGAGCAATTAGATGCCACACTGGCAGTTTAACTGGTTCAGAAGGCTGTAGGTTAGGATTTCTGTTGGGTACTTGCCTCATTTCCTAAATTACAGAAGAAGCCTTTATTTTCCCCCTGTGACACTTACTCTTTTAAAAGGCTTTTATTTATTTATTTGAGAAAGAGAGAAAAAGAGGGGGAGCAGCAGAGGGAGAGGGAGAAGCAGGCTCCCTACTGAGCAGGGAGCCCAGTGTGGGGTTGTTCCCAGACCCTGAGATGACAACCTCAGCCAAAGGCAGACACCCAACCAAATGAGCCACCCAGCCACCCCTATCACCTGGGACACTTATTAATTAATCTTTGCCTTGCTTTCTTGCAAATGACTTTTCTACCTAAATTTCCTTCTTTCAGTCATTCATTGGTTAAGTATTTGCTCAGCGCCTGCCCTGTGCTGGCTGCTAGGAAGACCGTGATGAACACCATGGGTGGAGAGCTGCCCTGCAGAGTTTACAGCCCAGTGCAGAGTCAGGCTGGTAAACACTCCCATGTCTAGGGTGCTAGGAATGCCCAAAGATGGGGGCTCCACCTGGATTTGGGAGTTCATGTCCATAACCATGAGATGCCCCTCTGCCTGCCTTAGAGGGGTCCACAGATGTACAGACCATGCTGGCCTGCTGTAATTACTTGGTATTTATATTGGTCAAGATCAAAAGGGGGATGTATATTATCTAGTTCTCACTTCAGAAAGGAGGTAGCTGTTATAGTAACCTTTGCTAAAGCAGGAGGCCCCCACCCCGACCCGAAATTTGTTTGGGATGCTGAAACTGATGGTACCACATACACTCTATAGGGGTCTGAAAAGATTTGTTGCTTACATCATTGAGGTCTCAGTGGCGAGAAGGGCCTTCCTCTCAAGCAGACTGGAATGGCTGGAGAGAGTGAGGGCAGGGGCCTGGCCTGAGTTTTTATTGTTAGGAGCTGGGCCTGGGGGAAGGTTCTGGAGTCCTTGTGTGGTTTGCATCTCCCACAGGTACCAAAGAAGGGGTTTTGTTATCAGTTTGTTCATTTGTGGACAAAAGGGGAAGAGGGAGATGGGAGAGGCTTAAAAGCTGTCAGCCGTCAAAGATCAAACCTGGAGTCAGATTTCTCATAATAGGCACCAGTCCACTTCCCCAGCTGAAACAAAGTTTTTCTTTCCCTTGAATTCTGAAGCAAATCACTTTTGGGAGAATACCATAGCCTTAGGGGATATGGTTCAAGACCCTCAGTGGATGCCTGAAACTGTAGAAAGTACCAAACTCTACATATTGTACTCTTTTTTTCTGTACATTCATACCTGTGATAAAATTTAATTTATAAATCAAGCAGAGTAAGAGATTAACAGCAGTAACTAATAATAAAACAGAACAATGATAACAATATACTGTAATAAAAGTTATTTGAATGTGATCTCTCTCAAAATATTTTACCACGTTGTACTCACTTTCTTCCTGTGATGATGTGAGAAGATAAAATGCCTATGGGATGAGATGAATTGAGTGAAAGCTATAGGCATTGTGACGTAGCATGAGGCTGTTGTGACTTTCTGGTATGTCAGAAGGACGATCTTCTTCTGGACGGTGGCTGACTGCTAGAGACTGAAACTGTGGAAAGCAAAACCATGGACAAGGAGGATCTACTGCATTGGCAGAGCAGCCACATAGGACAGTGGACCATGTCCTTTACCTTGATACGATTTTAATCATAGATACAGGAATGGGTTTCCCTTATTGTAAAACTGCAACGCAGGGGAAGCAAGTCTGTGAAGGACTTAGATATAGCTTACAGATGTTGAAGGATAAAGTGAAGGGAAGTGAGCTGCTGGGTAACCTGGTTTTTTGTTTGCTTGTTTATACAACTTTTAACAGCAGGACTTTTAATAGGAACTGGGTAGTAGATAACTTAAAAGTGACTCACTGACAATGCTTGGAGTATTTTGTTGTTGAGTGAGGGTAAATTCTTACATTATTAATCACAAAGCATTAGTGAGTTTATAATAACATGTTGTGAAGATTGACTAGAACCACTTGGTCTTCTTTAAAACAAATTATTGCAAATTAACTCTTTCTTTCTTTCTTTCTTTCTTTCTTTCTTTCTTTCTTTCTTTCTTTCTTTCTTTCTTTCTCATAGGTGGTAGTGGGTAAAGACATGGAACTTAGAAATTCTAGCTTGGGAATAAATTTGTAGATGTCGGATATCTGCATTTGACACTTAAAAAAACTTTTACACCTCCCGTTGTATAATGATGACAATCCAGATTTGGACTGTTTTACTTCAACTATTCCTAAAACAATTCTTCTGTTCAGTTTTCTTTGGTCTTTTATCAATGTTTTGGACAGGAACCTTCTTTGGAAACAAACCTACTACGGTCCAGGTCCAGCTGGCGCACAACGTACTGTCTGTTCAGGAGAAAATGATGTGTAAATCAGGGAAGAATAAAGAATGGAAGTATTTGGGGGAAAACATTAGACATCTTTGAAAAGGTGGGTACATTTTTTTCCAAATTGTTCAATTAAACCTGAAGAATCAGAGTGGTATTTGCATTGTGAAAAGTGTAAACAAAATCACAAATGTGAAAGCGACCAATCCCATTGCCAAGGATTCCATTATTCCAAACTTGGTTAATGACATGGCATTTAAAGGGGCCTGTATGGAAGCCTTACTGGTCTCCTTGTGTCATAGTCCCTGTAGCTCTAACAAAATACCACAGGTTGGGGGCTTTCTACTGTTTCAGTAGAAATTTACTGCTTACAGTTCTGGAGGCTGGAGAGTCTGAGATCAAGGTTCTGGCAGATTCTGGTTCATAGATAACCCCTTCTAGTAGTGTTCTTATGTGGTAGACAGGGCAAAGGAACTCTCTGGAGGCTCTTGTATAAGACACTAATCCCATTCATGAGGGCTCCTTCTTGGTGACCTAATTATATCTCAAAGGCCCCACCATTACATTGGGCATTAGGATTCAATGTATAAATTTTGGGGAAAATCAAATATTCAGTCTACAGTTTCTTGATTCAAAAATTTGCTTTTTTCAAAAAAACCTGTAATGATGCAATAGGAAACCAACCAGAGAGCCCAGAAAGGATAGGGTGAACATAATAGTTCTCTTTCAAAATGAGAGGGGAGATCAGTCTGGTGGTGGGATTTTTCCCAATTTTATTGCAATAACAGCAGCTTTGCATCTCCCTCTGCATCCAGCTGTATATCTGCTGCAGCATATTAAGAGTGCATTAAAGTGGTTTCCTTCCAGAAGCCTGATTTCTTTATGGCAGAGACAATGCTATGTTGTTTCACCCTTACCACCAGCTCTTTAGCACAATTTTGTCCCATTCCTGGAAGAATTACGCCATCTCCTTAAACATACTCTCTTCTTTTGAGATGAATAGGGTACTATAAATGCATGTCTTTTTGTGAGCTTCACTGCCTTTACAATGCTGAGATTCAGGAGAGCTCAGGCCCTGAAAAGATGGAAGTTATCCTCAACTTCAATTTAATGATATTCATACTTTTTGAACACCTACCACATGTTAGACACCATGATAAACGTTATAAAACATGCAGAGAAGAGCAAGGCATGAATCCTGCCCTTGAGGGGTTGACAACCCAGTTGAAATAATGTGAATGTGTGATAAAGTTAATAGCACAGCCTGAAACAGCAAGTTATAGGTGTACAAAGGACATGGCAAATAAGGGGAATGTTGAGAATGCTCCAGGCTAGCTTGAATAGAAGTGGGTGAGAATGGTGGGTCTGTAAAGGTATTAGTAATAGTGGTGGAAGGGAATGTGGGAAAATAGGCAAGCCATCTAAGACCACTTAAAGCTCATCAGACTCTCCCAAGGTCAGAAGAGGGATGCTGGAAGAATTTTAAGAGGGATGCTGGAAGAATTCTCCTTTTAAGGAGAAAGGCATATGACCTAAAGCCACTGGACAATATATTAAATTTGGAATTCTGTGAAAGGCCTTTATTAGAGTCTGTAATAATTGCAATAGAGAAACAAAAGTATGATAACTTTGGCATCCATTCATAATTACAAAATAATGAGGTAGATGATTTTGTAGCATTAACAATAGAGTACCAACTATACTTGGGATCAACAGACCTCAACATGGGTATGGGAGAAAGAAAGACAAGAAGTGAAATGGAACAGGAAAGTCCTCATGTATGCTATGTGCCCAGAGAGATATCTGGAAAGTTCTAAGACAAGGCCAAGCACTATTTGCCTATTCATTGTGAGCCTATGTACAGATGAATCATCCATGAAAACTATCACCTGAACCTAATGGTTCTCTAAGTACTGTCATAATGGGAAAGCTGTAAGGGTCCATCAAATCTGTCTTACTCTCCACAGATCCACCATTCTGGGCCAGCAAAGAGAAGCCAAAGGTTAAGTTAAGGATGCAGTTACTATACAGCTACTTTGAGCTTCTCCTAATAAATATTCAGGGTATATCTGGGTCTATTGTGGGTTGACTGTGTCCTTCAAAAAGATACTTTGAAGTCCTAACCCTGGTACCTGGGACAGTGATCTTATTTGGAAATAGGGTCTTTGCAGCTGTAATCAAGTTAAGATGAGGTCATACTAGATTAGGATGGGATTTAGGACTCCAATGACTGGTCTCCAACAGAGAGAGTTGGAGCCTCCCAGAAACACACAGGAAAGAAGGTCATGTGATTGCAGAGGCAGGGATTGCAATCAGGCTCTTGCAAGCTAAGGAATGCCAACAATTGCCTACAACTACCAGAACCTGGCAGAGGCAAGGAAAGATTCTTCTCCCCAGAGGCAGCCTGGCCCTGCTGACACCTTGATTTTGAACTTCTAACTCCCAGAACTGTGAGAGAATAATTTTCTGTTGGTTTTAGCCAGTTGGGTTGTGGTAATTTGTTATGGCAGCTCTAGGCAATGAATATGGAGGTGTCACAGAGTATAGCATAGAAGCCAGTTGACGCCCACATCCTTGGTGCTACATCTTTTTCTATCCATGATCACTTGGGCAGAACTCTATACCCTGCCAGTTTCTATAAGAAGTCCCATCACATTTAACATGTAGTTTTTTTGGTATGCTTTCATGAGCTTTTGAGAGGTCATTAGAAGGGGGTCACATTATGTGCCATAACCATATTCTGTCATCTTGACCCTCTCCTTGTTTTTTCCTCTTCTCATTCTCCTACCCCTTTCATTTCAGAAAGAAAAAAAAAAAAAGCAAGTTCTTTCTATTTTACACATAGCAGTTAATGGAATGCCTTAAGTGCATGAGTCTGTTCTTGCTTATCAAAATGTTTCTTTCTAATAAATACAGACTCATTTCATGAGGGATTCTGGTGAATGACACTTCTCTATGTCATTAAGACTGTGCCCCTTTCTGCAAGGGAGATAAAATGGGCTCAGAGAGGGTGAAGTGACTTGCTGGCCATTGGTTCACTCATGTGTTGGGGATCCTCTGTCTTTGCTGACAGACCATTGGAGTGATCCATTCCTCCTCCATTTTCTTTCATCCTGAAGAGCTTCTGACTCCAGCTCAGGCCTCCTCTACTGGCGCTTTCCTGACATCTCCAGCCACCTTTTACCTCCCTAGATTTCCAGGGATCTCATTGTAGCATTTGACCACACACTGTCATGACGCAGAGCAACTTCATGTATTGCAATGGTATTTTCCTACTCTGGATTCTAGGTAATGTATCTAGGGAACATGGCTTTTAAGTGGGAAGGGATCTAAGTAGGGGATGAAGAAACTGGGTCTAAAACCAATTGCTGTGTGACTATAGGATAATCTTTTATCCTCTCTGTTTCTTGGATTCTTCATCTCTATGCAGGTGCTTTAATCATTAAAAAGTATTATTTTGCTATGCCTCACCTAGTCCATTACTTAATGGACACGGTTGAGTTGACCTGATTATATGTAATTAATTTTTTAAAATGAGTAGAGCTATGGAGCATTGACGTGTGGTTTCTACACATGTGTGCATGCATGGGATTTTTAAAAAGTCATGGTTTAAATGGTGAAGTCCCAAGTCCTGGTTGGCTTCTTTGTCTTTGTCTCTATGCTATGAATAAGCTAAGAGATAAAAGAGAAAAAACTTTTATTGAAGAAAGTTTTTGATAGAAAACATGGCTGAAATGAAGGCTCAGAAATAGGTGATGGAATAAAGCTCTGTCATTATCTCAGATCATGAGCATAAAGACGAGAGACTATAGGAGGCAAAATCACGTTCTGTCTGGACAACAAACCCTTGGCATGTAGTCGGCTGGATCCTGTGCTCTTTAAACCAGAGCCAACCTGTAGTCATCCACATCAGTAACATTGCTCAAGAACAGTGCTCACTCACTCTACAGAGTGACCGTTAGGGGCATGCAGTAAGGAGTGAATCAATTGTGCAGCATTCAAGAACAATTACAGTGGTTGGAGCCTCTGCCTTCGGCTCAGGTCATGATCTCAGAGTCCTGGGATCGAGTCCCACATCGGGCTCTCTGCTCAGCAGGGAGCCTGCCTCCTCTTCCTGTCTCTCTCTGCCTGCCTCTCTGCCTACTTGTGATCTGTCAAATAAAAAAAAAAAAAAATCTTTAAAAAAAAAAAAAAAGAACAATTACAAACATGACCCAAAGCTGGCCTTTTTATTGTCACCATTTGCCAGCAATTCTAAACAGTGTCAGTGATAAAATGCTCTCTGAAAATCTTTATGATCTGAGTTCTAACAATTGTTGAGATTATTGTCAAGTTTAAATAATAGTTAAATGAGTATAACGCTATTCCTCATCCTTTAATAAACAGTATTCTATATGAAAGTTAATTTAAAGAATTCCTAGTTATATAGTTGCCCCTGACACATGGGGATACTATGTGTTTATCTCAGACCTTTCCTTTGGTTCAGAATTTCCCAGCTTGCTATGGGTGTAGAAGGTATGCTGGTCCCTATGGTGTGACATATTCCTGAGTTTAAAGAGCATATTAGAAAGAAACGATAGTGTTGGGGTGCCTGGGTGGCTCAGTTGGTTGAGCATCTGACTCTTGACATGGCTCCGGGTCATGATCTCGGGGTTGTGGGATAAGGGTCCGCCAATGGGCTCTGCGCTGATCGCAGAGTCTGCTTGTCCCTCTCCCTCCCCCCATCCCTTCCTGTGTTCATGCTTGCGCTTTCTCTTTCTAAAGTAAACAAATAAATAAATCTTTTTTTTTTTTTAAATAAGTAAACGATAGTGTAGTGATTGTGAAGATGTAGAAAGAGAACTTGCGTTTCTTCAGTTTTATCATTCTATGGGACAATTTGGGGTTTTTAGTGGTATTTACAACTTAAAACAGTAAAACTGAGTGTATAGATTATCATATGGTTTCACTTATTTGTGGAGTATAACAAATAACATGGAGGACATGGGGAGATGGAAGGGGATATGAACCATGAGAGACTATGGACTCTGAAAAACAATCTGAGGGTTTTCAAGGGGCTAGGGGCGGGGGGGTTGGGGGAGCCAGGTGGTGGGTATTATGGAGGGCACATATTGCATGGAGCACTGGGTGTGGTGCATAGACAATGAATTCTGTTACGCTGAAAAGAAATAAATTAAAAAAATGGCTTATATTTTTAGTAAATCTCAAAAAGAAGGAATTCTCTCAGGTAAATTTACCTTTCATTGTTATGCTAATCCCCCTCAAGGCTGAAAGTGGTGTAGAACTAAAATGAACTCTACTTGAGGAGCTCAGCGGAACATTCCAAGGGAGTGTAAAGAAGATGCTGGGGGAACCACTCATAACATCACCTGTGAAAATATTCTCTCCAATTCTTTTCCTTTATTTTACCTCTGTATACCCCAAATAATGACAGTAATAATAGCGGCAATAGTAAAATAATAATAATTGATATCATGTTTATAGGACTTATTGTAAAACCTGTATTAATTCATTTGATCCTTAAATGATAGGTTTTTTGTAATCTCCATTTGATTGAAAATAAAGTCAAGGCACAGAAAAAAAAAGATTTTTGTTCAAAAAGACAAATTTATCTCTGTGTGAAATATTTCACTGAATCTGAATATGCATTTAAAATTAAAATATATTGTTTTAAAATGAATTGCTTTAATATTATTTAAAAGTCAAAAAGAGGAAAAGTTACATAAGTGGCACTATTTAATAATACCTAAATTGTACCTTTTAAAGTCATTTTATTTTTTCAGTTTATTTATTTATTTTCAGTATTTCTACACCCAATGTGGGGCTTGAACTCATGACTTGAGGTTAAGAGTCACATGCTTTTCCGACTGAGCCAACCAGGTACCCCAGATATTATCATTTAATTAAAATTTATAAATTAGCTACTAGACAATGATTTTCATAAAATGCTGTTATATGAAACTGTAGCCAATGGATCGAAGTTCAAACTGTTAGGTGTATTTAAAAACCATCAGGTGAATAGTTATGTTTTTTTCTTTTTTTTTGTACCATAATATTTATTTTAATTAAAAATTTTTAATTTTTCCCTGACAAAATTACATTTAAACTTAAAACAGTACCTTAACATTTTTTTTAATTGTCTACGGTTCTTTTCTGGCTGTGATCTTTGTTGCATGTCATGGTTACTGTGAAAATATTTTTGGGGTAGGGTTCACAAAATAACTGACTCTAGCTATCCAATCGCCCTTACTACTTTCATGTGCTCCCCATCAGATGGTAAAACTGGTCTCATGGGCCACATTCACAGTCAAGTGAAGAAAGGTCTGAGTTCAGGAACCTACTCAGTCAGCACCTAGCGGCGGAATCTGAAGTTGCTTGATTTTCTCCTCTGTAATAATAGAGGGTTTGAGGACATGACTTCCAAGTTGCTTTCCAGCTCTGAAATTTTGTGATTCAGATTGACTATTGTACCTATTACGTGCACCGCTACAGTACTGAGGTACTTTCCAACTCAACATTCATTTTACACAATTTTTGCCATTGCTTTTCAGATTCACCTACTGTTTAGACAGTTGTGAAAGTGAACCATATCAATTGTTTCTTGGTCTTGGTATATCCATTCTAAATCTCATGTCATTTTCGACATAAAAGTTATCTGCAAATGGCATTGTTTACTCAGACTTTTTGGGAAAACTTCGAATGTATCCATTTGTCTACTTTTTCCCTACAATGAACTGCATCCAAACCACACTTCTGTTTCTGACCATTCTTATCAGTACAGTTTCTTCAAAATCTTGTTGGGCCATCTCTTAGGCGGAGAGACCAGTTTGAGGCAGGGTTTGGCGAGGCTTGTACAGCAACAACAGGTGGTGCTTTGACTTGCTGCATTGTCTAGGGCATTGTTGATGCGCTGTGGGGGACAGCCAAGGATAGTGCTCATAACTCACAATTGTGTAACCCGAAAGTGCAAGGAGTTAATTCTTTTGGGGCCACCTTTTACCAACAGGGGGCAGGAGCAAGTGAGTGTTTCCTCCTTTCTTCCCCTCGCAGATA